GGTTTCGTAAAATAAAAGGCGGTCGGACACTGAAGCAAATAGAAGAAAACGTATTTTTTATGCTCATTCATAAAATTCAAGTTGGTTGAGTCTTTTATTGAAAATAAATTGCATTTGCAAAAAAAGTGCTCAGAGGAAGGAAAAACCGTACCGAATGTAGTAGCAAAAACCTGGCAAGGAAGGCATTTGGGAAGCAGGAAGTCTATTATGAGTTCATAATTAATTTCATAAATTAAACACAATATATAAGAAGTAAATGGGTTGAATGCAAAATATTTTCTCAACATTAAAATGATTGATTTTTTCTTTTGAAAAACACAATTTTTAAAATTATTTAATTGCATAAATTATTTTAAATAATAGCAATTAATTCTTATGTGTAATTTTAATGTAATATGCAAAAACTTGTAGTAATAATTTTACTTTCACTAAAGGAAAAGTTGTTATAATAAATATTAAATAAAAACAAACGATACATAAATTGTCTTTAAAATTTTTTAATGTTGATAAAAACCATTTTTAATAAAATCTGTGCTATTATCAGTCTTATATGAATTAATACGAACAGCTTATTTTATAAGTACTTCATTAAATATAATACTTTTATAAGTACACTTTTTAAACCATACTTTTATAGATATTTAATCTGTTCATCTGTTAATCTATTTAATCTGTTGATTTAATGATAAATTTAATGACGAACAACGAAAATAAATTTTAAATTATATAGTTTCTATTTATAAAATAACTATATAATGTATATATCATGACCCGATGTCTTATTGGTGTTTGCAAGCATCTTCACAAGTCATTAAATTATTATTATTATCTACTTTCATTAAGAATGTTAAAAGAACTTATTAATCTAATCATATTGAAAAAATTTTTCTTTTTTTTTCTCGGAATAACATGCGAGTTAATGTTCAAAGCACTTTTACTCAATAGTGTCTGTGATTAGTTGGATGATGCACTTTAACAGTAACTCTATTAAATTATGATGTTAAGTTATTCAGGTTAATTTGCAGAAGAATTGTTTCAAATCCAGCATATCTTCTAGATAGTATATATATTGTATTTGCAATTAAGAGAGTGCAATTTTAAATTAGTGTCAGCTTCCAAATATTTAAACGATTTCTGCGCTCTATTTCTGATACACTTTTGGATGCTCTCGACTCTCAAGTCTAAGTGTATATCTTCATTTCTTATAGATCATGGAGCTTTTGGCATACTTCTTAACACAATATTTTGATAAGTTTAAAGTTTAGATCTAATTACTTGTTTATAAAATAGAATTTTATTTTTCACTCTCAATTTTCCTTGTATTAATAGTCTCAACGCAGTTAGAGTTCTATTACAAGCCAGTTTTTTGACCCTAATCTTCTCTACCCAATTGAGTCTTCCGCCAAAAGTTAGACTTAAGCATTTCACATAGTTTTTTAACTCAATGAAGAATAAATATTGTGAAATACTTATTCACAAATGATTTCCGGTGACTCCTTTTGTATCATTAAAACCAAAGATAAGATTAGTCTGAAATACATGCGTTATAGTTAATCTTTAAAGCCTCTAAAATAGCAAATCAAACAACAACACTAATCAAATGTGAAAAAGAGTAATACGGTCCCAAATAACCTGAGAGATTATGACAAAATATATCTTTCTCACTGTATCGTATTCGTTTCTTAAGAATTTAATAAACGATTGATTGGGAACAGCTTCATTGGCAAAGTTTTTCAAAAAACCACAAATCTATCAAAGTTTTTTCGAATAAAAATACAAACAAAAAGCACATTTTTTTTGTTAAATTCAAATTTAAGAAATTAGATATTGTCAATTATTTTTATTAATATCGATATTATTTTTTACTGTATTAAGAAATTATTTAAATATAATATATTCTAAGTTTTTACTAATATTTTTTAGCTTTTTCCACAAATAAACTAAAAATATAATATATACTAACATATTGAAACAGTGATGCTAATGTATTTCATCGAAACTTTTCAGGAGACTTGCTATTTGGTTTACTGGTATGGTTTACTGAACATATAAATAAAATGCCTATCGCTTGATTAAACAGCAGTTACTGAGTACAGTACGTAGAAATTTTATGTATGTTGAGCAACTGCATATCAATAGCTCTGCACATGGTTGAGCAACAGAGTCTGCCTACTGTAAACAATAAAATTTGATTACAGTGCGAGTCGTCAGTTACTGTAGTCAGCAACTCTTGTTTAATCCTGGTTGAGCATAAATGCTAAATAGTTTGGTTCTAATATATATTTTATTATTCTTATGGATCTTATTTTAATAATACACTGAAAAAAACTGCAATTAATTAATATATTATGTATAAATATTTATTTACAGATTAATGACAGATATTTTACAAAAGTTAAATGATTTTGCATAAGATTCAAAAATGAGTAACGAAGCATTTTAACTTACTCTTAAATATACTATATTGTTTAAATAATACTTATAAATTTCAGTTAATAGAACAGAGTAGTAGAATAAATAAATAAAATAAAATAAAATATTATTACAAATAATATTACTATTATGCTATTCTACTGATAAAGCTGACCAGTTTCGACAATTCATAAAAATATTATTAAGTACTCTTATCGCGGTTTGAAATTTATTGTAAGTCATAAGCAAATTGAACAAGGCTTGTTAAAAATTCAATATTTTAGTGGTCCTGGTTTCTAGTAGGCATACATACCCACTATCCAGCTTAAATTTAATTAAATCCATAAATAAATGATTTGAATTCAGTTTTGAAATCAATATATAAAAATACTATTTAATCATATTAAAAGTTGTACTGCATCCACGGCGGAAGAGTTTCAAGGGTGACATGTAATACAATTTCAAAAAATTCATTTATAACATATGTGTTATAATTTTATAATA